AAACTAAAAGAAACTAATAATTTGTTTAAAGAGTTTTCACATTGATAAGAAAAAAATATAAAGTTATTTAATAATATTAAAATTATTTTTTCCTCATTTTTTAATAAGATAATACATTAAAAAGCACATGCATAAAAAAGTAAATAAAATTTTTGTTTAGAATTATAAAATTTATAAAAATTAAAAATCATAACCATATTAAAATAAAACTAGAATTAATGAGATTCAGTTGATAATTAATATGATTAATAATTTAAACATTTTTATTCAACTATTTTGACCTTTTAACAAATATGAAAAAGGGTGTTTTTAATTAATGCACCTTTTAAAAGAGGGAAATGGTTTTAGGAAATGATTTTAGGACAATCTTTTTGTATCACTTTTTGATATAATTTGACGTGTCATTGAAATGATTAGTTCTTTTAATTCATATGGAACCTATGATATTGTATGCATCCACTCATTTAATGATATGTAGAAGTTGTATCAAAACGTAAAATAAAAAAATTATTCCTATAACATCACATTTTAAAAAATTAACTCTATCTTTATTAGTAATTAATATTAATAATAGTATCTTTTTTCAACTTTTTTGCCCGCCATTATGAGCATTATGAAAGAGAGAAAATAAAGAGATTTCTATGGATAAAATGAATAATTAAAGCAATTAAATAACAATAAAACGTAAAAAAAGGGTCTCGCACTCGGTGGTTAAATGGCCAACCCCTTGCAAGGGACGTGCGTAGGACTATAAGAAGTTGGGATCAAATTTCAAGTCTCTCATTCCCCCTTCCCCCAAGAAAAAAGATTTCACACTGTTCAAAAAAAAATAAAAAAAATAAAACGTAAAAAAGGGAGAAATATTTGCTTTTATAATATTTAAAATTAATAGAAATATTTAGTACGGTTTGATGTGTATTAAGCTCTGGTAACTTTTGGACGAGATATTGAGAACTATCTTGGTCTAATAATACCTTTTTGAGGTAGTATGAAAATAAGATATTTTAGCACTAATAATATCAAAATATTTAATTATAATTATAAGATAAATGAAATATAATAAAAATTTTA